TCTCCCTTATAATGACCGCTACCCCCCCGCCCCTACCCCGGGTCCTTGGCTGATGGAATGCCTGAAAACCCGGCGGGCAGATGTCCACCAGAGGTACTCCACCTTCTACGCCCAGCCAGGTTTCAGTAATACCTGCCAGGTCCGCACCCCCCTCTAAAATAAGATCTTGTATGAGGGGGGCCTTATTTACCACGGACCTTTTATGACTCGTGGACTTCAACTCCCAGAATTCCTGAGCCACATGGCTCAGCTTGGAAACCTCTCCCTTTCCCCTCAGTGTGGCTGGTTCAGGAATTCTGGGAGTTGAAGTCCAAGAGTCATAAAAGAGCCAAGGTTGCCTACCCCTGAACTAGACAAACTATTTAGAACCATTTCATTGTGGATACAGAGCAGTCTAAAGAGACAGATTGAATTTTTAGCGCTCTACCACCCATTTTCAGAAAATCCTATTGCTCATGAATAAATCTTTTACCTCAGCTTTTGGAAAAGAATAGAAAATGATGAATTACTGTAGAAAAAAACCTAAGGATTTTGAAAAAAGAAAAACTAGATGTTGGCAAAGTCTTTCACAATGGCTAATGAAACAAGTGGTTTCATCCTGCTGCTGCTAGACGCTACAATATTAATCTCAGATTATCAGCTCTTTTTCTTTGACCAGCAAGATGTATTCATTTTCCTGTTAATGTAACAGGATTGTGATACTCATTTGATTTTGGAATGTTAGTGATATAAGCATCAATAAAATAAACAGGCACAATATTAGATTCAAATATTTTATTATAAAATATTTAAAATTATGGGTATGCATTGTGAATTATTATTATTTCATTTATGAAGGTGTTGAAGAGTACTGGGCCCAAGACAGAACCTTGATATGTCCCGCTGTATACTTCCCTCCCTGTATATGTTGTACCATTAAGGAATACATGCTGAGTGTGGTTGCTCAGCCAACCTTCACCAACACTTCAAAACTCCTTGTAAGGATCTGGAAGAGTGATTATATTTCAGAATTCTTATAAAAATAATCTGAAGACAGAGTAGGAAAAAAAAACAGAGATAGACACCAAACAAAGTTATTAAATACAGAGGAGGCTTATGAAGACAGAAGCCAATAGGAATTCTGATTATGCTAGAGATCAAATGCTGATCTGAGAAGGAATAAGGAAGAGAAGGAAAGCAAAGGACAAAGTCTACATGGAGAAAAGAAATATAAATGCCAGGAGCCTATTCAGAATATTAGGCAGGAAGAGAGAGAATCATCTATTAACGTATGCCTGAATCAGCTTTTATTGTGATTATCTATCTATCTATCTATCTATCTATCTATCTATCTATCTATCTATCTATCTATCTATCTATCTCATTTATCTATCACCTTATCATCTATATCTATCATCTATCTTATCTATCATATCTATCCATCTATATCTATCATCTATCTCTATCTAGCTATCATCATCTATATCTATCATCTATCTGTCATATCTATCTATCCATCCATCTATATCTATCATCTCTATCTATCTATCATCTATCATTTTATCATTTATAATCTCTCTATCTCTCTATCATTTATCTATCATCTTATCATCTATATATCATCTATTTTATCTGTCATATCTATTCATCTATATCTATCATCTATCGCTATCTAGCTATCTAGCTATCATCTATATCTATCATCTATATCTCATATCTATCTATCCATCTATATCTATCATCTCTATCTCTCTATCATCTATCATTTTATCATCTATAATCTATCTATCTATCTATCTATCTATCTATCTATCTATCTATCTATCTATCTATCTATCTATCTATCTATCTATCATCTTATCATCTATATCAGGGGTAGGCAACCTTGGCTCTTTTATGACTCATGGACTTCAACTCCCAGAATTCCTGAGCCAGCATAGCTATGGTGCCAAGGTTGCCTACCCCTGATCTATATCTATCATCTATCATATCTATCCATCTACATCTATCATCTATCTCTATCCCTATCTAGCTATCTAGCTGTCACCTTATCATCTATATCTATCATCTATCTATCTCATATCTATCTATCCATCTATATCCATCATCTCTATCTCTCTATCTCTCTCTCTCTCTCTCTCTCTCTCTCTCTCTATCTATCTATCTATCTATCTATCTATCTATCTATCTCTCTCTCTCTCGCTCTCTCTCTCTCTATATATATATATCATCTAACTCTATCATTTATCAAATCTATCTAT